CCAAGAATAGGCATGTAATTCCTCATGGGACATTACAGAGTATGATTTTTTCAAACCACTGGGTATATAAGAGGGAAGGAAAAAAAAAAAAAGGCAGCAATGTTCCTATTGCTTCATTATTCCTGCTAGAAATAATCTTTCCCAGCACTGATTCCATCCCCTGTGCCAGATTTAACAGGGGAGGCAGAACACAGTAAGTTTCTTTTAGAGCTGGTTCAAGCAGCCAAAATCAACTACATAAACAAACCAAACATGTAAAGTAGGTAAGAGAATGAAAATCACCCTAATTCTTCTTGGAGAGATAAAATCTTTTTCTTTGTGTGAGAACAGAACTTGTTTTGTCATTTGTTTTTCATTAGTACTAAAACAACATGAAATTTTAAATTACCATTGCACACAGTTACAGCCAATCTGGGACTCTTAGTCTGGATGATGCCTTTACTTCAGAAATAAGAAATAATTAGGGAGATATAATTCCATACATACTGAAAGCACTGTTTTTGTTGGTAAATTCACATTTCTCCCCATCTGCTTTTGTGAAAAAATAATAATTTCATGATCTGGGCATAATAGACATTGTGATAGAATTTTCTCCTGTCTGAAAAACTTGAAGTCTTGGCAAATATTGACACTCATCACCATCTTGCATGTTTTTACTGGAAAGAAGGACAGTAAACCGTTTATGTGACTATGATGGGGGGAAAGAAATCAATTCTAAAACTGGATGCGATCTGAACTTGAAAACAAAAAGATGTGACAGGGAAACAGCTCTATACAGTTAGCAAAAATCCCTTAATTTCTGATAATGAATAATATGTTTTGTTGTTTGGGTTTTTTTTTTTCTTCTTTCTAAAGGAATCAAAGGAAAACTTATTTTAGGGAGCTTATCTTGAACTTCAGTGGAGTTCCAGAAGTTCAGTCTTCTTGTCTGTTTACTCCACCAAGGAAATGTTTTCCACTTAAGCAGCACATTCATCTAATTAAATTAAATTAATCCATTCTGTATCCCTAAGGTAGAAAGCAGCCACATTTTCATTTATTTATGTGTTATTTTCCCTAGATTCTGAAACTAGTGGCAAAAAAAAAAAAAGAATTGCAGTGGAATTAATTTTGAAGATGCATCTGATTTATATTACTCCTTGCAGCAAAACTATCCATGGTTAAAACTGCTTCCCTGATACCTCCCATCTGCAAGTGAAAGTGACTACAATTTTTTCCTCTTGGAGGGAAAATGTTTCCAGCAATCTCTCACTTTCACATAATAGGGTTATATAAAAAAAAAGAATTGGAACTGTCATGAATACTTCCCTTTAGAGGACTCTCACCAAGTTCTGGACATGTTCATGTTTCCCTGCCTAAAAGCTCATAATATGCTATAAATAAATTAATACTGGTGAGGATTTTCTGTTCCTTCTAGAAAAGAGACAAAATATGTGTTGAGTTACACTCTGAAGCTGAGTTAACATTGTGCCAATTATAATTGCTACTGCTCTGACGTGGATAAATGTGGTTTATTAGGATGTCTTGCTGCTTTTCTCCATATCATTTAGATAATGCTCCCATCTCCTCAGTTTCCTCTCTTGTCACACATTGCCTGTAGAAAAGTGTGAAGCCAATCCAGATGTCAGATCACCCTCAGATCATAACAAAAAAAAAAAAAAAAAAAAAAAAAATCAAAATACAGTTAAAAGTGTAGAGCTGCTCTTTTTGTGATTTCTAGCCAAGAGCAGTTTGAACAAAAAGGAGAAAACCTCTTTGTGCATTGCTGTTTGTGGGTCTCTGAGAAAGCACTACCACTCTTAGGTTTCAACTAATTCAGAATTAACTGTGTAAAATAACAGGGCTCGAATTCTCTGCTACATCAGTCCCACCTTTAAATTCAAGTACAATTGATCTGATCCTCCTAAAATCATCACCACTTTTTGGTGCTGCAATTTATTACCCTTGGGCTGAAGCCATACAATGGAGAGCTTTGTTGGAAAGAGCTTGCTGCATGGGTAAAAAGTTACCTTTTGCTCAGGGTAAAACAGATCAGTGAAACCTGAATTGGACCAATGGCTCTGGGCATGGATTGGAAACTCAAGGACTGTCAGGATCTATGTAAAATTCTTGCAGAATGAAGAAAAACTTGCCATTAACTCACAAGTGTTTTCACTTTGGGTATATCATGTATCTTCCTCCTCAGCTATAAACAACGGGGTTGCAGCCACATTATAATTCATGCGCAAAATATTTGCATTTTTCCATAAATGTGTTTCAAATTTCATCCCCTGCACTTCAGTCTGGAGGGTATCTGTATTCTCTAGATCTCATTAGAAATTGAAAATATGCACATTTTCATTTTTATCCAACCAAGCTGTTTGTCCGTACCAATATTAATGCTCAGATCTGCTCGAGTGATTTGTCAATTTGCATCAAACCCAATATTTGTAGTTCATTTGTTTTTTTAAGGAATAGGATTGGGGTTTTGCCAAATGCTTCTTGAAAGATATTTTTTGTAAATTGCCAATATTATTTTTCAAGCCCCTAAATGGTTCCACAGTAGTCCTTATCTGATGAACAAGTGAAAATACTCCTTACATGTAATTAAATATTACATACTTCCAGTACTTTCCATGGAAAAAACCCAACTTTGTCTGAAAATACAGTGGTTCAGTCACATCCTCACTTCCAGCCAACTTTCCTCTCAACATGAGCACTGATCACAGTTCACTTCAAACACTCTGAAACAGGAACCAACAGCAAAAATATACCTTCAGATCCCACTGGAGTTAACAACAGCTTACAGCACTGTGAAAGTTAAGAAAACTTTCAGTTTGAGACAAAGAATGCTCGATTTTTCTGGCATTTCCAAATGTGGCTTTTGATGTCGATGATTTGGTTACTGACAGCGATGCTTTTGCATCTGTAAGTTAAAAAAATAGCCTTGCTTTTAGAGAAATAACAGAGAAAGCCAATATCATTATATTTGCTAAATTTGTCTGGTGTAGTTATTAGTCACTGCTAAAAAAGCAGCCATTGCACTGTAAACTGACAGGTACAACACAGAAATGGAATTGCATTTTTGTCCAGTAGGTCCGGTGGACGTTTATGAAATCTTTGAAAAATTGTGGTTTGTTTTTTCTCTAATGCAGACAAATAGAATCTATTCAATAATTTCCTGATTCGCAGCTGCACCTCACAGACATTACCTCGTGTCACTGCTGAGCTGGGAGAGCATTGGCAAAAACTTTCTCTTATCAACTCCCTTGTTCAGGTGCCAAAGACAGAAACAAATGAAATTCCTTTAATTTCACTGGAGCATAACTCCAGTGCCTGCTGGAAAGAGCCACAGCAGCAGTTTAAGAGGTGTGAACATTAAACAAAGATGCCAAATCCATTTTGTTCTGTTGACAAGAAATAAATTAGAAAGGAGAGTCCAGAGGTGTGAACTGGTACAGTTTGTGCTTCAGTGACATTTTTTTTTCTGTTAGATGCTGTATGTTAATAGTAAATATTTTAGATTTTTCATCAAAATCTCTCTACAAATCCCTTCAGCTATAAAAACCAAAGGAATGGGAATTTATACAGTTAAAAAACAAAAGTTTTTTAAGGTGGGTTCAGCCTTTTTTACTCAGATTACTCAGCCTTTAAAAACCCAAGAGGAACAGGTGATTGTTCATTTACAAGAATTTGCAGGATCAGGACTTTTTTGATAAACAAAGCTTATTCAAAACTCTTTCTTAGATACATTTGCAACATCAAAATTACACTACAAGAGTAGAAGAGGATCCTGATTTGCTTTATTGATTTAAAAAAGTGGCTGTAAGTGAACATGGACATCCTTAAGTCATGCCATAAGTGCTTTCATTTACTTTATGTGCTCTTGTACTCTCAGAAAACAAATGCATTTTACCTGATTAAAGTAAAAAAGGGCATCCAACCTATTCAGTGGTGAGCAGATTCCCTCCTTCACTAAACTGCACAAAAGGCCAAGACAGGAAGTTTGTTTTTCTTCCCTTCAGTTTGATTTTACACTCACAAGTCTATCTCTGAAGACAGAAGTTTAGTTAAATAAAAGCTGAGACTTTTCCTCTTAACAAGTAAACTCAGAAATGTGGCTTTAAATGGGTGTGTGGGGTGTGAATTCCCACTAAATGTGTATCCCAGGAGTGGCAGCAGGTGCAATTCTTGTGTCTTTCTAAATGTCTTTGGAGGCAGAATAGCAGAAATGACTGAATTTTGGCATTTCTAGAAAGCTGCCCTCACCCTGCACAGATAAATTTGTTTCCAGAAGCACCACAAGCTTCAGCACCTTTCAGTGATGAAGTTTCATCACCTTCTGCTGAAGAATATTTCCAAAACAGAGGAAAGGGGAAGGCAAAGGGCATGTCAGTTTAGGTTCTTCGTCCCAAATCTAAACTAGGAAAGGCTTTCACACTCGTTGATGGGGTTTAATGAACAATAATTTCAGTTCACAAACCCTTTCCAGTGGTTTATGAACATGTCTATGAATTGTTGACTTTGGGCACTGTCCAGGATGATGCCCAGCTCAAACACAGTGGGATGTGGTTGGTGATGGTGCTCACTGCTCACCACCACAGACCACCCCAGCCTGATGCAAGGACAGACTCACTGCCACAAGCACTTCTGTGCTGTGTCTCTTCTCCTGGAGCAGTCTCCAGCATCATTTTGCTCCTTACAGAAGAAGAGAGTTTGAAGACAATACCCAAACACACTCCCCTGGTATGCAAAGGCTTCTTTACATTGGGTAAAGCAACCTTGAAATGACCCAAATTCACAATTACACCATTTCAAGAGTGCTGTACATTGCCAGAGCTCACCAGTATAAAAGTGGGGTGCAGTGAAGCCCCAGAATTCTTTAGTATTATGGCTTTACATTTCATGTTCTTTCAATTTTTGAAATACAGCACATGTTATTATAGCTAGTTATATCTGCATATTACAAGCAATTACTGGGCAAAGTGCTTTTCTTTGTCAATGTCACTGGCAAAACTTACATTATCTTCAGAGCAAACAAGCTGAGATCAGATCTCTGTGTGCACTGTGAAAGTGAGGCGTGCTGCAAAAAAAGGGAGATGGAAACGGCATTAATTTCAAACACGTGCTGCTAAAAAAGAGAAGCACGGCTCCAAGGCTCGTACTAATATAATAAAACCTGACTTCCCTTCAAAGACCATATAGAAAACTTTTCATTTCAACTCACAGCATAAATATTTGGTAAGAAACTCAACTGAGGGCTTATTGTCATGTTACTGAAACATGCAGTTTTTCACTCTCTATGGTTTATGTATTTAAGGTATAAATTATAACTTTCAGGGATATATTTGAATCATAAAGAGCAAAGATGACTTTATAGCCATTTCATTGGTTTAAAAACAGTGCTTCACTCAGGTTTATAGCCCGTTAAGACAGTGTGTTTTTCCTTGTATGCTCCCCTCCTGTGCAGTACTAATTTAATTTCAACACTATGGTTTGAACACCACACATACAATTAGTTTCTATCAGGAATGAAAGCTCTTTCACTCAAGGTCAAATTATAAAAGTCTGCCTAGCAGGATGAACTGATCATTTCAGATCAAGTAAAATGAGTCAAAGCTCTATTTTCAGATTTTTTTTTCCCTAATTCGCTTGAGCCAATCTAAAAATTTTATAACTTAAAAAAAACCCTTTTTTTTAAAGTTAATGTTATTCCTCCACATATACTGAAATTCATTTTTAGCCAAATAACAGCAGCTATCTACATAGCTAATTAGAAAATATACTGAAGCATTGGTTTAGAACTTCACCAATGAGCTCTCAGCTCAGGAAAATTAAATAGTAGTGATATAACTAGTGTAACATAAAGCACTCTAAGAGACTATTGAAGGGCTTTGGGAATTTGTTTAAATGTCCACAGAGCAAAAGTTCAGGCAAGCCCATACCTGTGGTGACAGGGGACCTCTCTGGTTCCATTTGTCACTCAATTAGAGGAGGGAGCTTTCCATGAAATACTCTCATTTCTTTATTTAGAAATCATAGACCTCATAAATCACCCCTGTGGCTCTAGAAAACAGTCAGTTGTGTTTACATCACCCTCCAGTGTTTAAATCTTCCTCAGTGAGCTGTGTGTCATCTCTGCCTTCAATATTTGTCATATATCACAGCTTACCTGTGGCTTGGCAGGATGCAAGGCAGGATCACTCTGTCTTCCTCCTGATACTTGTAATTAAGTCATCTTAAAGAAGACTCTTTAACCTTGATTCTGTCTTCCTGAAGAAGAAGAGTACATGAATAAGACACAAATTATGCTGGATAAATCCACTGCTTCAACGGATTTGAAGACAGAAGTCAAATCTTTACAAAGCCAGCAGGTGCAGTTCAGAAAATCAGGCAGGTTTGTTCTGGTCTTTAATAAACAAAGCAGATTCAGAGGTAAATGTGAGTCCAAAGAGCCAAGACAAAGCTGAGACAGATACAAGCTGGGACTTTACTGAGTAAAGTTAAAGTTATTTAGCACTGTGAAGTAGAAGATATTTTAGGAGTGTATAAAAGGAGAAGGAAAGAACAGCAAGGGGGAAAAAACCCAGTTGTATCAAAAGTCTGCCTCTGCAGAACTCCCTTGGAAAGGCACCCACCCAGCCCTGGATGTGTTTCTGCTTTAAAGGAAAGCTATGTAAACAAAGTAAAAGTCTCTCCAAACCCAGGAAACAAGAGATATTATCCAACACCCATCCCTAGAAAACATGCTCCTCCTAGGGGTAAAGGAGAGAGCACGTTGTGCTGCATAGAACAGGTTTGAATCATTTCCAGTGGATAGGAGAGAACAGAGCATTTTTCAGTCCACTCCTCAAGTTCCCAGCAGCTTTGGCTGAAGGAGACCCAGCTGGGAACTACTGAAGGACATCTGAAAAAAAAGGATGATGCATGGATAGAGCTGAGCTCACTGAGACAGAGGCTTGCCTGCACCTCTGGTTATATTTTAGACCATACAGTAATTCTGACTGTTGTTATTTAACTCAGAATATTATTATTTACATCAAACAGTACCTTTGACACAGAGAAAAAAATCTGAAGATTCTTTCATTTCTGTCACAGCAAAGTCAGCTCTGTCCATGCTTTGTTATCCATATTTTGAAAACCATATCAGTTGCCTAAATAAACAAGATAAAGTTGATGTACTAAATCTCCAAGCAATGAAGGCCCTGATTAGATGTGGTTTAAAGACACACTTGCCATAATTGGAACTGAAGATCTATTTTGGGGTAAATTTTTAGTTCTGCAGCCAAAGAAATGTTATGTTCAAGTCTAAACATGCAAATAAAAGCAGCTTGGGATTAGGCAGCATGGAATGCAGACACTTGTCAGTGAATCACTAAGTGATGAAAATGCTTAGCACCTCTGGGTATAAAAATTCAATTTTTGTCCCCATTACTCATGTGATGGTGCTCTTTCTTATGCTGCCTCACGTCAGAGGTGTAGAGCTGTGGTTTCATGGATTTGGGAGAAAGACTGATGAACAACTTTAAGCCAGCAGAAGAATCCCCTCCTGCTTGTTCTTTCCTGCTGGGCTGACAGTTACCTCCTCAGCAAACTGAATCAGCAAATGCATCTGTTCTTTTGCAATATTTGATCTATTCTTTTTTCTTTTAAAAAGGAGGAAGGGAAAGCAAATGATGAAAAGCAAAAGTAAACACTATCAATTAAAAATTGTTCCCAGAAAAAGATGTTTAGCCTCATTTCAGGGTGAGAATTCCCAGTTTTACAAATTAGTATTTAAATTCTGATAGTTTCTTTTTTCAAGAATCCTTTTCATTTACTGTTTCCAAACATTGCTAATTTGACTCCTAGTTTTTTGTAAGGAAAAATCACCAGCAACTTCAAGGTATAAAAAGATTTGGAAAAACACTAAATGAGACAATCAATACCAGCTATGTTCCAAGATTATTTTTGCTTCTTATTTCATCTTTAGATTCCTTCTGCAGCTACAAACAAATGCATGATCACATGATAACCTATGGAATCATAGAATCTCATGAGTTTTGAAGTTTAGTTTAGTTTTAGCAGCTACAAGAGATAAAATTCAACAGTGGTTATATTCAAGTTAAATATAATTGAGGTACATTGGATCTGCAACAAGACACCACCTCTCAGGCTTCCCCACTGGCCCAAGCACTGAAAAATAAATATTAAAAACTCTTACTCCTCTGTGATACAGACCATACATAAATCACATGAGGGCATTAGAGTGATCTGTAAAATCCCAAACTGTGCTGTATTTTGGTGGCATTAGCTGGTTACCATTTTACATTCTAAAGATAAAATATTTTAAGTCTTCTATGCCTGTGCAGCATATTTCCTTCCAACATTGAAAAGGCGGTGGATGAGTCTCATGTCACCTTAAATTGTGAAGAAAATATAGCAATATATAGAAATATTTAGCAATATACAGAAATATACACATTACCCACTAGAATACACATCTGCAATAGCAAAATGTAATTTTCCTTGAAGTGCAAAGTTGCAGGTCCCATTCTCCTCTTAGCTAATGCACAGTTATGATGCTTTTCTACCAAATATAACTCATGAAAATGTGTTTTGATAAATATATTTTTGATGTATGTGGGTTTTTTTGAACATTTGCTTCCTTTAACACATGGCTGGGTTCAGCTCCCTGAAAGCTGTTGTGAATTTATCCAGCCAGTCAACAAAAATGATAAAATGTGACTTATCTGATTAACCACAAGCACACACAGCGGTTTGAATTGAGAATATTCATGATCAATCAACCCAGTCAGTTGTATCTGGGAAAAGTTGTTAATAAAAGATATCTGAAGAGATGAACTCCAGGAAATTGTGATCTGTTTGTGGTTATTCCAGAAGCAGAAAAGAGGGACTGGAATGGCTCAATATACAACTCTCAGCAGATTATTCTCTCTGCTCCACTGAACACCCGTAAGCACAGTCAACTATTAAATTAGCACTGCTAAGCTCTGCTATTTGTGTTGGCTATTTTTATACCCAGCAGGCAGTAATCATTACTTAATGAGAGCCTAGGCTTTAACTCCAGGTGTGATTTTGTCATCAGGGGATCTATTTTTCTACTTTTCAGAGTTTGCATCCACACCAGTTTCCATCCCCACCAGCACCACCTATTTCTCTCCCGAGGGTTGTGTGGCGCATGCTGATTCCAGGCTCAGCGTGGTGCACGATGCTTGATTTGCACTGATTGTCAGAAATTGTCACACACAGGCTTCTGCAAGGGTGTGCAGTGAAAAATGTGATCTTTGTTACGTCCCTTGCATCAGAGAGCACCTCTAATTTTCTGTTTTACTTCATCCATATCCTTTGCAGAGAAAGGCAAATCTCTGTTTGAAGTATTGGTTTCCCAAAAGTCTACCTGGAGTAATGAAAGAAATGTATTCACTGTATTTACTGTCAAAGCACCACACAAAGGAAGCAAATTTTTTCCCCTATACTAATGAAAAATGCTCAGCATATAAAAAGCTCGATTACATGCTATAAAGGGCTGACTTTCTGCTTTGCTATTCAGCTATTCAAACAGAGAGAACGCTGCAAAATCTGAAGAACTAAAACTAAGAAAGAAGAAAAACACAACTTCTGCACACTTTTGTAGAGAAACCCCAGCTTGGAGAGGGTTGCAGATGAATACAAATTCCTGCTACAGGCATTTTTTGGGAAAAAGACAAATAAACAAACAAAGCTACACATGACTCTCTCTCTGACAGATTTCATTTTCAGCTTAATGAACTTAAGTACAACCAGATGAAGCAAAAACATGCATTCCTTTTTCCCAAAAAACATGAGAAGATCCAGTTCCTTTCATGTGAGACTTTCAGTCCAACCTGAAACAAACACGGGGCTGGGCTCCAAGTATTCACTTCTAGAAAATCCTATTAACAAAGACAAATATGAAGCAACTTGGGAATATCACTCCAGCGATAGATTACCACTTTCAAACTGGTCTAGAGGAGCAATTCTGTAAAAATGACACCAGCTTTAACTGCATAAAGGACATTTTTAAAAAAATACTTCAGTCAGTAAGCAGCTGGGGATGTGAGTATTCCCTCACATTTAAATAATTTCTCTTCTTTTTGCAAGCACCAAGGGATAACTTGGATTGTGAACAGGCAACTCCATAAATACTGAAAATGGAATCCCAAAATACACTTATGACTTGAATGTTTGCTATGAAAAAAACCCAAATATAGTTCAAAATTGCAGCTTCTGTACTTTTTCCATCTCTGGGCTGTGGATGGCTTGACTACCACAAGGTAGAGCATTCTCATTTTTATGTGTCCTGTGATACTCCCAAACATTACAGAAATGCTAAAGAAAGCAGATTTACTATTTTCTATCCTCCACAGACATGGAGGGTTTTTTAAATTGTTGTTTATTTTGGTGTTTGTTACTGTTAATAGCATCAATAACTCAGTAATTCTCCTGGCTGCTTACAATAGTCTTGAGAGCTTAGAAATATAAGAAAACTTACAAATACTTTTATGGTGATTATTTTCTCCAGATTTTAGCAAGACTGGTACTAAATATTACTGTGGTTCACTTAGTAGTGCTTGCAAGATGCGACGGCTCAGAAGCCCCAGGTTAGGAATTTGAATTTTTTAGTGATAATTTTAACTTTCTGCTTTGTGTATCATCCTAATCCAATGGAACTTAGGTGGTTTCTGTTCTAGTGACCATCAGAATCCACACCTGGATAAGAATTTATCCAAGGTAACAAAAGTAAAGCAAGACAAAATTCACACGACAGGAAACCTCAACTTTATCAATTTGCTTCAAAAACTCTCCTTTACTCTCAACTTTGCTTCACCTTTTTACTGCACATGTCTCACAGGAATGATGTGAAATCAACTCTTAAAACCTGCAGTCAACTATTTAGAAATGTTATCCACCATTTAAATGAACTCTCTTGCTCTGCAACAAAATCCCACAGCGTTCAGAAACAGCAAATAGAAAAAAGCAAGTGCTTGACTTGTGCAAGCCAAGAGAAAAAAGCAATCATATGATTGAAAAATATCTGCTTTATGACATTATAGCTTCCACATTCCTATTCTATCCCTCACAACCCCATTTTTGAAGCCTTAAAGGAATTTCTGTAGAGGCACTCTCGCTGCATTTATTTTGCAGCAGGTGTGGAGAAAACTGACACATTTTGCTTTTTCCAGCAGCATCAATCACTGAAACCTTAGTGCTGCACTCTCAGCACGTGCTCACCCACCCAGATAACTGAGAGGGAGA